GGCTTCTCCTGCATCAAGGGACGATCACCAGTTTTACATGGTCAAGGCTGTCCTCGTGACGGGCCCTGTCATCTTGTCAGCTCTCTGTTTTCTTCAGAGTGATGGACAGATTAGATGATTGTCATCTTCCTTCAGGCCCACGAATCATATGATGAGCTCCTGAGGAGTGAGGAAGGGAGGAGAGCCTCTCACAGGAGATCTGAGGTCAGCCCAGCCAAACCCATTCTGCTCATGGTTAAGAAGCATCTAGAGGCAGCCTGTATTGGGCTATCAGATTTGAGGACTCAGGAGTCTGGTCTCCTTGGTGCCCTGGGCCTCCTGGCTGCAGGAGGGACAGCGACAGATTTTCAGGCAGGTGCAGTAATACTCACAGTTGCTAACGCTGGTCCAAGAGCCACTTCAGCCAGGCTGAGCTCTCCTAGGTGGCCTTGGCTGACATGATGGTCAAAGATTAGACACTTGGGGACATAGGAAATGGAAAATTTGCAAGTTTTCTTTGTTAAATCTTTTACCACAAGACACAAGGATGGTTTAAAGGAAGAAAATAACGAAAGGAGTAACTCTGGCATTGCAATTTAGTTAAGACTCTCCAAAGCCCAACAATAACTTTGTATTCGAAGCTACAGAAGACTCTGCAGGGAGCTCGCGTCCACTCCGCCGTGGCGTGACCCTGGAAAGGCACACTGGTTTCCCTCTCCCAGGAGCTCTGAGCTACTGGTAAGGGATGAGCAGTCCAGCCGCACGTGAAGGTCCATGATATACTCTGGTCCTGCATCTGTGGGGATGTGTGGGCTTGTTCTGCATTCCAGCATTCTCTCCTAGTTGAGAATTCTGAGGCCTTAAAGTGTTTAGAGCTGGGGGACCAGCAGTTAGCGTAATGGCTATGTCACTGGACTCCCATGTAGTCCACCACGGTTTGAGTCCCAGACCTGGTGGCTTAAACTCACACTGGGTGCGTGTGCTCGCATGCCCAAGATCTCAAGAGGAGAATGGAGGAGAAGGGATTGCAACGTGGCCATCCTCCCTGGGGGGTGATTTCTCGCCTTCTGTCTCTCTGTCTCTCTCTGTCTTTCTGGCGAGCACACATGCCCTAGAGCAAAAACCTCTCAAAAAAAAAAAAAATTAGAGCTGGAACGTCAAATCATAAGAGAAGTCCCCTGCTCACTTCATAACTACTTGCCATCCAATCTGTGGTGCTGAAAATAGCTCTGTTTAAGTTGCTCATTGGTTAAAAAAGCCTCCTGTAATTTTGTTTCCAGGATACACAGCAAATATTCCCAACATGAGTGGGGACATCAGAGGATCGAAGTCAGCATACTGGCATGCTGGGCCAAGTTCTTAGACCAAGGAGACTGGCACGTTGAGGGCAGGTTCTCCTGAGCCCTTGTAAGGGATCCAACTGGAGGACTGGGCTAATTCATACACACTCCTGCGTTCCCCTCCTCAGTGCTATGCAGTATAACTGACATAGTACAGGGCCTCTTCAGCTCCTTGACACAAAGATCAGCAGTAGGCTACAAGCCAGATAGAGAGCAGGGGACTGGGCAGGTGGCTAGGCTCCTTCACACTGGAAAGTGACAAAGGCCTCTCTTAAGTAGGTGGTCCAGCAAACGTGCAGGCTACAAGCTCAGTGCGTCTTCCATGCTTTTCTTTAGGCCTTCCCTGTGGCCTTATTTTAATTTTATTATTATTACTTTCTATTGCCAGAAGGAGCACACGCTCATGACAGAAGCCCCTCCTCCTCTCCCCTGTCCAGTGGGGCGTGTTCACAGTGTAAAGCTTTCTCCACTTCTCCATCCCCTCAGGATTTGGGGCATGCTCACACACATGCCTGGTATTTTTTTCTTTTTTTTTCCAAGCTCCCAGGCTATGGTATGAGGCTTGGTTGGTCATGTGGGATCCAGCTTTCTAAGCATAGTGCTTAACCACTGTGCCACGGGGCTGGCCCCCCATAGCCTTATTTTGTGGTCACACTGAAGCATGCTTGACTCAGAGGTTTCCTTCAGAGCTTTGAGTCTCATTCATCTCATTTAGCTTATCCCAGCTATCCTCAGCCTCCAACACGCAGTGTCCTTGGTTGCCTGGCCTCTTGGGCTGCCTTGACATCCTTAGCGCCACACTGCCAATTCTTTTCCCTGAACACTCGAAGACCCCATCCTATTGCTTGCACACCCATGTGGCCTGTCTTTTCAGGCTGCCTTGTCCCCTCACACAGTAGGCTGTCTCCTGTCTCTTCACAGGCCCCCAGACCCTGAGCTCTCTTGCCACTGGCTTGGCTTCCCTCATGGGTTCTTTTGCTCTGCCCATCTGGCATATCAGTGTTGTCCACACTTATGTGGACCTGAGCTTCACTCATCACCTGCATCAACTCTGGGTGGTCTCATCTCTCATAACTGACCCCCTCTGACCACCTCATCTGTGTGGGTGTCTCCTAATTATCAATTCGTAGCCCAACTACTCTCCTGTTAACTCGGGCCATAGGTCATAATGATCACAGGAACTACAAACTGCATGTTATCTTTCCTCTAATATCTTCTTCCCATAACTCCTATAGAAGTTAATAGTATCAATCCACCCAACTCTGCAACCACAAAACCACAAACTTACTCTCTCTTTTTCTCTCCTTTGTCTCAACATTCAGTCAGTGAAACAACTAGCTCGATCTCCTTTCACTCCAAGATGTCTTTGAAGTTAGTTTATTCCTCTCTTTGACATAGGTTTTTAAAAAAGGATTATTTAATTTTATTATTTATTATTAATCATAATTATTATTTAATTGACGATAGAGCATATGTACACCTCCCAAAGGGAGACGGATAGAGAAAGTGAGATAGCAAGCCACAGGGCCAGGACTCGAACGACTGTCAGCTATTTGGGAGTCCAGCACCTTAACCACCATGCCACTTGCTGGCCCCTTGTCTTAGTTTTGATCTCTAATCCTCCTCTTGACTTATCAACAATTTTAGAGTTGGTCTGACTGTTTCCAGTCTTACATGCTCACATTTGTTCTCCACACTATGTCAAGGTTTAGTTTTTATAAGCACAATCTAATAGTTTATTTTATTTTATATGTATATATTTTTGAGAGATTTTTGCTATAAAGTATGTGTGCTTGCTGGACACACAGAGAGAGACAGAGAGAGAGAAAGTGAGAAATCACCCCTAGGGGAAATGGCCACACTGCAATCCCTTCTCCTCTATTATTTTCCTGGGATTTTGGGCAGACATGCACTTGGGCCCGCTATGAGTTTCAAGCTACTGCGTTCAGGACTTGAATCATGGTTGACCGTGTGGGAGGCCAGCACCTTAACCACTACACCACCTACTAGCCCAAGGTTTACTTTTTAGAAACACAATCTATAATGCTCTCCACAGATAACACAGCCTTCTGATGTTGTCTCCCACCTCTTTTCCCATCATGATTGTTTCTTTTTATGAGATGTATGGGCTTCACTCACCAGTCTCTCACTGGGTAAAGTAAGATATTTTCCCCAGAATTACATATGTATACCAAGCTAATACATACACATGCACACGTATGTGACATTTAAGATATTATATAGTAGTTGTTGGTTCAATCATGTGTTCCTCCCTTTACTCTTCCTTGAGGGAAGAGACTTTGCTTATCTTTGTACCCTTCCAGTATGTAGTATGTGCTTAACTCACAACTGTTAAATTACACACAGTATTCTTTACAACGCCCGGCATATCGCAAGGTTGTATGACTATTTGATGAAAATATTTCTTTCTTGATTTTGCTAACCTCAATTTTTGAACTCTAGTTTTCAACCTCTTAAATTTCATTCTCACAAACTAAAAGAGAATTGAGGAATTGTACTATGTACAATCATTGCACATGTAAATTCTTGTGTCATGGGTTAGAGCATTCTCTACTGTTAGACTGGAACTTACCTGAAGGTGTCATAAGTGAGTGCTGGCATTCAATCCTTGGGGCCATAAATCCCTTCCATGGTGACATGCCTGCTCCACCTTCCCCTGCCTGTGTCTTCCTGCCTCAGAGGCTTCATCATCTACTTACTGATAGGTTACAGGCAAAGGGGTGACCAAGGACAGGTTTTGCCTCCTTTGGTGGCAAAAATTTGAGTAGGACATATTCTTCCTCGGCTCAAAAACTTCAGAGCTTAGAGTGTGCTGGGAGAGAGAAGGCACGTGTGCTCTTTGGAAGCCTCAGCTAGGGATGATGGGGAGGGGGCAGTTACATTGCTGCTATATAACCAAACCATAGTGACTTGGGTTCTAAGTCCAACAGGCTCAGATATCACCCAAACTCCCCTCAACAGCAGCATAGGTAAGCCAAGTCAGAGAAGAACCCACGATAGCGATTCCAGGGCTCAGTTCCCTCTAGGTAACTAAAGCTCCTGTGGTGGGACCAGGAGTAATTTTCAAATCAAGCATGGCGGTGATGTGGCAGGAACGCGCATGCCCCTATAGTTCTGTACAGCTTTCTGGAGACTTCTAAGACTGATATTTGAGGTCTGTCCCCAATACAGTGATACAAAATTGACTGATACTTATCTTCTTATGCAATTTGTCAATAGCAGACAACCCAAGAGGTACTGCACTCTCAAGACAGAGGAAGTTTAGAGATCATCAAGCCTTATTTTACCAAAAGATGCAGAAGCTGAAGTCCACAGGGCTAAAGTCCTTGGTTCCCAAAGTCAAAGTCCAGTATCAAAGAATTTTGAACCCATGCTTACCTTTAAGAGTTCTGCCAGGGACTCATGTGATTTTACTAAAATTATCAATATTCGTAACCCAAATAGACTTATCCTAGTGTCTCCTCAGTAGGCAATTATTCTATCTTACATTGAATTGCAATTGATGTATTATCATAATCCTAAGTAATTGATCTTGTATTCTGGGTAAGGACTAACAGAGCTTTCCTCCCAGGGCTCTGTTGGTCACTCTCATCACTCCTTACAATGGCTTATAGAGACCAGAACTTCTAAACATCTAGAAGTAGCAAGTATACATCTTACCATTCAAGATGGTTTTCTACAAACGCAGACATGGGGCTGATCTGCACCGTGTACGTATCATTTGCAGAGTACTCAAAGAGTCCGTAGTAAGGGTTGAAGAGCTCCTGAGACAAAAGGAAGAAGAACTCTCGAGAAGGACCACTGTAGTCCAGGCTGCAAAGGAAGAAGAGGTCCAGGAAATTCATTATGTGCCCAGTGACTGGGATCTGTTTCTTATCCAAATTCTAGTGTGCTCATTCAGAGTTGGGGTGCTAAGGAAAGCAGAGAACAGCTTCTGCTCTTTACAGTGGATCATGATAGTAGTATCAATTTGCTGCAGAAAATGAAAGAACACTGGAGCCAGTTAGTGATATGGTGATTAAAGTGGCTGGATTCTACATGGTTGACAATGTGATTTGAGTCCTGGATCTGGTGGCTTAGAAAACACACTGGGCATGTGTGTAAATGTGCCCAAAATCTAAAGAGGAGAAAGGAGGAGAAGAGGTTGAGGTGTAGCCATCACCCCTAGAGGGTAGTTACTTCAGCAAGTACATGTGCCGTATAGCAACAATATTGTGTATATATATATATACACACACATATATATATAATTTAATTTTTTAAAGCAAGAAGCAATTAAACTAGAGATTGAAAGTATTACAGATAAAAATGTAACTTAAATTTCAGTAGAATGTTTGGAAGATAATTTTTTAAAATTATTTATTTAATTTTATTCATTCCCCACCCCCCAGGGGGGAATGGCCACACCGCAATCTCTTCTCCTCCATTCTCCTCTAGGGATCTTGGGCACGCACGCACACATGCCCAGCATGAGTTTAAGCCACCGGGTCTGGGACTCGAACCACAGATGGCTACATGGGAATCCAGCAACACAGCCATTATGCCAACTGCTGGTCCCATGGAGATATTTCTTAATCAGAGTCTATGAATAAACTCTTATGGCAGTGTTTCTTGGCCTTTTGTTTCTGTTTTTATATTGTTTTGCTTTTTACATTTAGGTCATCTAATGCCAGGAGATAAAACTCACAGCCGGCCTTTGTTGTGAGGGGCACAATGAAACAATTTCCCAAGACAATGCATGTGTGCACAGGCAGGTGCATTTAAAAAACTCCAGAGTTCATTCCAATACGCCCTCCAGATCTTGCTCTCCATGGTTCATATGGTTTTCCATAATCATTGAAATGATTGGTTTGGGGTTGTACTCAGAAGAGTACTCCACACAAAAAGTGGAGTTACAGTGGTTTAGAACTGAATTCTTGGTTTATAATTTGAATATGTGATTTTGGAATCTAGGGTATGCCAATAATTTTTTATTTAAAAAATTTTTCTACAGGGTGCAAGTGCTCACTGGACGGAGAGAGAGAGAGAGAGCAAGAGACACACAGAGACAAAGAGAAAAAGTGATAAAATGCCTCGATGGGGGATGGCTACACCACTGTCCCTTCTCCCATTTCTCCTGGGATTTTGAGTGTGCACACACACCTGTTTTTTTCTTTTCTTTTCTTTTTTCTTTTCTTTTCTTTTCTTTTTTTAAGAGAGATTTTTACCATATGGTATGTGTATGCTTGCCAGAGAAACAGACAGAGACAGAGAAAAAGAAAGCAAGAAACCACTCTCCAAAGGGAATGGCCATGCTGCAATCCCTTCTCCTCCATTCTTCTCTTGGGATTTTGAGCATGCATGCACATATACCTGGTGTGAGTTTTAAGCTGCTGGGTCCAGGACTCAAACCTCAGTTGACTACATGGGAGTCCATCCAGTGATGTAACCATTATGCCATCTGCTGGTTCCTCTGTTATGTTTTGAAGACACTAGGTTTAGGACTTGAACCACACTTGGCCATGTGGGATCTAGCCACCTCGATTACCAAGCCACAGGCTAACTCAGTGCTGGGTTTTTGAAGAACCTGAAAGCTAAAGCTTGGCAAGACCAAAACCTCCTGGGTGAATGTGATCAGAATCACCTTGAGGCAAAGGCTTATAGTGACCCTCACCCTTAGGAGAAACCATCCCTGATCCTGGGGGCTCTGATCTACCCACATTGATGTGTCTGCATAAAACTGCTAGTGCCTCACCCTTCCTCGCCGACAAAGGTAACATAGAGCTTGTTTCGCTGGAGTTCTTTCCGGGAATAGGCCATCACCTGATTGAAGGTTCCTTCCAGCAAGTGGTCTCGACGAATAATGAGCCTAAGAAGGACAAGTGGCGGTGAGTGGTGGTCTAAGGTCAGCGTGTGGACAGTGCTCTGTGTAAGTTTTGAGAGCCCAGGTGTGTGGCCTCGATCTCCAGCCCTCCCACTGAGAGAAGAAAGGGCAAGATGCATATTCTATTCCATCGATTTAGTGAAGGCCTTATCTTAACACACTCTCCAAAACATTGGGAGCACAGGAAAACATGATCGCTATCATTGGATACATTCCATCATACTGGACTGCTTTTAAGATGAACTCATAGAATAGCTCTTAAATTGGATCCCCTGGTTTGGTTTTGGCATTTTAAGATAAAATTAATAAACCCCCAAAGAGGAAAAATAAACAGTGTTGTGCTTGGATTTCAACTACAAAGTGTCAAAGAGTCCACGAATTGGACTTAGGAGTTATATTTTGTCCTAAGAATAAGGAAAAGGAAATGTAATATATATTGATGTAATGTATACTTTTGTCTGAAATATACTGTTCTTTCTCTTTCTCCTTCCTCTCTCTCTCTCTCTCTCTCTCTCTCCTTCGTGTCACCTTTTATTAACTTCCTCTTTTTGTTTCCTTCCAACTTTCTAATTAATTTCAGACATAATTGCTACCACATCGGGATATCCAATCCCGCCCCCCCCCAAAAAAATTTGTAAGGGTATAAGGGAGAAAGAGGTAGAAAAATCTACCATCTGATTTCAGTGCCAAGCACTGGACCACTCACTTAATTTTCCCTGGACCCTGACCAAATCCTTTGGCTTCCAGTTTTCGGTAGAAATTGCGGAGCTTGGCCTCAAAGTCTCTCCTGTAAGGTGAAGGGGCTCTTGCACTGGCTCTCTGTAAACCTGCAGAGAGAAGCACATATTCTGAAGAACATCATTTTTTTTTTGGGGGGGGGAGAGGATTTTGCTATAGGGCGTGTGCACTCGCCCGAAAGACAGAGAGACACAGAGAGACAGAAAGCAAGAAATCATCCCCTGGGGGGATGGCCACACCGCAATCCCTTCTCCTCCATTCTCCTCTCAGGATCTTGGGCACGCACGCACATGTGCCCGGCGTGAGTTTAAGCCATCGGGTCCGGGACTCGAACCGCAGTCAACTAAATGGGAGTCCAGTGACATAGCCATTATGCCAACTGTTGGTCCCAATGCTCAATTTTTTATTAAAGGACAAATAAAAATATCAAGGTGATAGCAGAGCAGGAGCTGAGAGGGGCGCATGTTGACTTTGTCATATTTTTCTTCTTCAGTAAGTTTTTCTTCCTTTCTATCTCTTTATTGTTTATTTTTAGAATAAATAAAAATAATATACAAAAAGAACTATAAATTATGATGGAAATAAATATTTATGTCATCATTTCAATTATTTCAAGTTGTATTTCTTTAACAGTATCTCAATGAATGTGGGTCAGCAGGTGGTATGACGCTTAAGGCTCTGGACTCCACATGGCCAATTCTGTGGTTTGAGTCCTGGATGGCTTGTAAAACACACCAGGTGTGTGTGAGTGCATGCCCAAAATCCTGAGAGGAGAATGGAGAAGGGATCGTGGCATGGCCATTTCTCCTAGTGGATGATTCTCACTTTCCCTCTTTTTCTGTCTCTCTCTGGTTTCTTTTCTTTTCTTTTTTTTTTTTTTTTGAGAGATTTTTGCTATAG